AAATGACTGTTTTCTATTTTAATATATTTAAAATGTAATTTATACCTGTGATGGCAAAGCTGATTTGGTAACATTTTATTTTAAGGTGTCCTTGTTACACTTTACATGTACTTACTATTATAAAAACAATAAATTATGCATAATTACATGCAAGTAACCCATTTTTTTCACGTTTTGTTATGTTGCTGCCTTATGTTAAACTGCTTTAAATTACTTTTTTTTCCACATCAATCTACACTCCATACACCATACTGACAAAGCAAAAACAGAATTGTCACAACTTCGTAAATTTATTAAAAATAAAAAAACTGAAATAAGTACATTGCATAAGTATTCATGCCCTTAACTAAATATTTAGCTGAAGCACCTTTACAGCCTCAATAGTTTTTTGTTTGATGCAACAATCTTTTCTCATCATCATTTGGCAATTATCTGCCATTCACCTCTTCTCCTCTCAAGCTCTGTCAGGTTGGATGAGGGCAGACACATTTTCAGGTTTCTCCAGAAATATTTGACTGGGTTCAATCCCAGGCTGTGGCTGGGCCACTCAAGGACATTCACAGAGTTGTCTATAAGTCACTCTTGCTGTGTTTAGGTTTTTTGCTTTACCATTATGGTGTATGGAGTGTAGATTGATGTGGAAAAAAAGTAATTTAAAGCAGTTTAACATAAGGCATCAACATAACAAAATGTGAAAAAAAATTAAGGCACTGTAAATGTATAATTACACTGTAACAAGGGCACCTTAAAGGTGACATATTATGCCCCTTTTTACAATATGTAATATAAGTCTCTGGTGTCCCCAGAATGTGTCTGTGAAGTTTCAGCTCAAAATACTCCACAGATCATTTATTATATAATTTTGAAATGCCTATTTTGAGTGGAAGCAGAAACGCGCTGTTTTTCGGGCCTGTGTCTTTAAATTATAAATGATTTTGATATTTTTTTAAATAAATAAAAAAAAAAAAAAAATAAAAAATATTTCTCAATTAAGTTGCTTGAAGTTTTAAGAAAGAAATATTTTTCTCTTTCCTTTTCAAGATTTTCATTATAGGCCTAATACACAGGTCCAATATTCTGACACTAAACATGTAATGTAAATGCTCCATTAGTATCCCGCCAAGTCAGACATTTTCCCATACATTTACATTTACAAGTACATTTGATCGCTCTGGTGCTTAGCAACATTATCACGAGTGCACTTCACAAAGCACATACCGTATCAAAATTGCAGTACTTTTGACATCCCTGATGACAACAGGTCTGAATCTCTAAGCATATTTCACGTATGATTCAAATGCAATTACTGATGTGGTGACGGACTTACGGATTAGGCCTGACTCATTCAGCATGATCAGTCTGCGTGGGATCAGATCACACACCAAACTGGGCTCTCAGTGCCAACATTACTGGTCATTAAATTCACCACCTGCTGACTGCGCCCGTTCCAGAATTTGCCTGATGTCACTTCACTAATAGAGGCAAAGCTTGCAGATTGATCGTTTGCAGCGACAGAGTTTCCATGGTAACACAGGTACTTACAATAGGACCGGGTGGACCCTGTGGACCCTCGCCTCCCTTCAGACCAGATGGACCCTGTGTGAGAAGGAGAGAGAGCGGTTTAATTCTCTAATGAGAGCTGTGCTTCAGAATCTGTCAAAGTGGCATTTGAAACTCTGCGTGCGCTTGCATTTGTTTGTGCCAGTGTATGGCAGCTGTTTGTACTATATGTCTCCTGGAAATACAGCCCAGAGTGTTTATACAACTGGCAATCTCTCTATTTCCTACATCAGAAACAAGTGCTGGCAGTGCATTGTCATGTGACGCCAAGGACACGTCACTCTCCTCCCATCTGAGTCATGAAAAACATATGAGCCAGCTAAAAGTAAACATCAAAACAGCAAGTGACGGCAAAATCGACTGTTGTTTATTGAAATCATACTGGCTTTGTGTTTTAAATGTGACTTTCAGCAACAACTGATTCATGAAAGAGATAACTAGTGGAGACTGAAATTCATCAAGAAGGCAGATGCTGTTTCTTATACTAAAAGCAAAACAATGTTTGATTATATTCAGTCCCACAGTTTTAAGTACTCTTAATGAAGAAAAACTAGTAGAGACATTTCCAAGTCCCTGTGACATATGCCTGCTTTGAGTTGGCCAAAACTTACTAAAAGTCAGGCATTTTATGAGATACATGTTAGCATTTATTTGGTAAAACTTTATAATAACCTCACGCTATGGACCATTAGTTAAGCATTAGTAAATAGTCAATTCATCATTTATAAAGCATTGTCCCTACATTAATAGAGAGTAAGCAGTTTATAAATACAGCTATAAATGCTTTGTTCTTGATTTATGAGCATATCTATAATGTGTTTAATATTTGTATTTTCATAATTTATTCATATTCAATGTATAATTTCTAAATTAAGTATTACATTATTAACAAACCAGTTATTTAGGAGTTGTCAGTGGTTCATAAGATCATTTAGATCTGTATTACTCTATGTTGTGTTTGTTTCCTTTTTCTGTTTAGAAGATAACTGAGCCTTTAAATCTCCTTTTTAAAAGTTTTTATGAGGCACAAGTAGTCCTCACTTTAGATTGGCTCACACAAATAGTTAACTGACAACTACTCAAGGTTTTATAACTACCTGAGTTAATCATGAAGTACACACTATTACTATATGTCTAAATTATATGTCTAAATTTCCATTTAAAGGGGTCATATGATGCTGCTAAAAAGAACATTATTTTGTGTATTTGGTGTAATGAAATGTGTTTATGTGGTTTAAAGTAAAAAAAACCACATTATTTTCCACATACTGTACATTATTGTTTCTCCTCTATGCCCCGCCTTTTTGAAACGCGTCGATTTTTACAAAGCTCATCGGTCTGAAAAGCGAGGTGTGCTGTGATTGGCCAGCTATTCAGTGCGTTGTGATTGGCCGAATACCTCAAGCGTGAGACGGAAATGTTACGCCCCTCACCATACTGTTGATGCCGTGTCCGGCCGGAGCGACGAGACAAAAACATTAAAACCCATTACAAACGAGGCATTTGTTGCATCCAGTGGGGACATAATTACTGATTATAATGACTTATACGGTCTTTTTACGCGTTGCATTGCGCCGCGTAAACATAAAACCCTGTCTGCATTTGTGATCAGAAAAATGACAAACAACAAGTGCTAACGTTAATCCACACTGCCCAAAACTCGCGTTTGAATCATCAGTGGCAAATGATAAAAGAAAACGTACTTACGTGAGTCAGAACTGCCGGCATTTTAGTCTAACGTAACTCTCCCAGGATCAGTAAACAGTCCTCCATAAAATGTGCCGGCGATCCACAGCACTAAGTTGAAGTATTCCCTCAGCGACCAGCACAGATCAGCTCTAGGCATAACGAAGCGGATATCGTCCTCTTTTGGAAGACCAAACAAAGTAGCTTCGCTTTCACAACGAAACACACAGCGTCTTCAGGACATGGCGGCAGCGGCAACAATACTACAAGCGAGAATAAAAGTTACGCCTTCTTTCTTTGCGTGAACATTTGGGCGGCGTTATGCAAATCTTCCCACATAGTGAGGTAGATATGTGGGGGCGTGTTCGAACGAGCCGTTTTAGGTAGGTGTGGCTAACTCTTAACTTTTATAAAGAATATCTCTTTGGATTTGAGACTTTTGTCTTTGCAACTTTACAGATCTTCTTTATGCACCAAGAGCTTGTAACACTCTAAAGAGAAAGGAAAAAATGAAATCGCATCATATGACCCCTTTAAATAGTTTGTTAATCATTTACTTACCCTTTCTAAATGATCTTATGAACCCCTGACGACAACTAAATAACCGGTTTTTAAATAATGCCATACTTAATTTAGAAATTATAAACTGATCAATAATAAAGTATAACAGCTGTGAGACTGTAAAATCTGATTAAAAATGAACTTTTTTTTCTAAAATGAATCTCCAACAAGAGATTATGTTGGTACACACAAGTTTCTTTCCAAAAAATCGTGGACCTTTGTACATTAAAGTCAATATAAAATCAAAATTGGCTATTTATATATCCCTGGTTGTGTTGCAATACACTGCAGTGGAATTTCTCTGCAGTGTTAAAGACGTATTTTTTAAAAAGCTTGCTAAATGTCTAAATGCATGTAAAATATGCCAGTTAATCTCCATGAGCCTCAGTCTCATAGTTAGGACTGTACCCTCTCCTGAGGCGTTCATCCAGCGTAAGCATTTGCATGAACAGCAGGCGGTTAAGCAGCTAATGACCATTTGGTGGGGCACACGACATTAACTCGTTTGTTCTTACCGCTGTGCCAGGAATCCCCCTTTGGCCTGGGAACCCTTTTAGTCCTGCAGGGCCAGGTTTCCCAGAAACCCCCTGAGGACCTGGATCACCCTTCAAGGAGAGAGACGATGAGAATTTAGTCTTCAAACCTAAAACCAACAACCTCCACAGCTGCTATTTGTAGGCCTTACCAACCACCTGCACATTGTGACATTGGACTGAACATTATGCGAATTCTTCCCAGTTATTACCCTTGAGTGATCTGAAGTGAGCATGTTTAGCAAACCGTACCTTTCCACCTTCTTTGCCAGCAGCTCCGGGAAGACCTTGCTCTCCAGGGGGTCCTGGTGATCCGGGATGTCCTCTCTCTCCAACAGGTCCAGTTTCTCCTGTAGAGCCCTTTCAAATTCAAACAGGTTTTTTAATTTAACTTCTGGCTAACTGCAGGAGATGTTTTATTAGAGCAACATGTTTTTTTAATTTTATTTCTACTCATATAACAACAACTGCAGCTCACCTGTGGGCCAACAACACCTCCAGGTCCAGGAGGTCCAGTCTTTCCTTGGAAACCCTGTTTGAGGACAAGCATAGTCATTGTGAGCATAGTTATCACATTTCTGGAAACAAACTTGTAGAAAAGGAAAACCTGATGGAAACTATGTAAATATCACTAAACTGTACAAATCCAGCCTCTGAAATGTCAGCAGCACTTATTTTTGTTACATCCACTTTTTTTCTTAAATCAGTGAAAGTCAAGTGAAGTGTTTTCATCTAAAAAAAACAAAGGGCAGTCTTTTAAGATAAAATGAGTTTCTCCTTTTAGCACTCCATCTGTCGGACGTTCTTGATTAGAAACAGAAAGATAGACCTGCCAAGAGCAGTGTAGCGCCTTGACACTGTCAGCAGCTAAAAGGTAATACACCATATAAACACTATCCACAACATTTATTCCTCTTTACTCAAGAGACAGAAAACACTTATGAAGACCAAATGATACTCACAGTCTCTCCTCGCTGTCCAGGGTGACCGGGCAATCCATCTTTTCCAGGAGGCCCCTGAGGGAATTACATAATTAATAGTGATTAAATCACATTTATGTAATTATTATATAATAGACTTGTAGACTTGTGGCTATTATTCTTTTGGGTTTTGTGATTTAATGGTTACAGCTAGACCTATTATTTGAACTACAGTATAGTAAGTCTAATGTATGGAAGCCCATTTCAGACACATAAGGAAAAACAATAATGCTTTCGCAAATCAAAATAAAAAGACATAAAAAGAAATTATTACATAAAAGTCAAAATTGTGACATTAAAAATCAAACCTTTTTGTGTCATAATTTTGAATTTTTCCAATGATGACAAATAATGAATCTAAGCATGTCATCATTTTAACATAAACATAACACAAATGACACTTTTATGACACAAAATAATTAAATCATTAAATGTCAAAATTATAATTTCAATATTTTGTCATCATTTTGAATTCTTTGAATTTAATTATAATTAAGTAGAAAGTAGAGTAAACTGAGTTAAAAAGTAGAATTTATGAGACATTAAAAGTCATTATCATTTCAAACTTTTATCATGAATAATTATGAATTTTATTTTAGAATTTCAACTTATGTCATAATTAGTTATCTCATAATTTTTTCCTTTTTTCTCAATTTTGACTTTTCTCTCCCTTATAAATGCTTTTCTTATGTGGTGGAAATTCTAAAGTAAGTCGAAGAGTAGAAGAACTTCTATCCACAGCATTAAAATGATCAAAAACATTTAAAATGGATAAAACCACATACAGGTGGTCCTTTAGGGCCTGTTAATCCAACAGGGCCCTGAGGTCCTTGGAGTCCCTAAAACATGAAGAAAGTAACATGTAAGGGAAATGTAATAGAAAAGTTTTTGACCTGGTAAGTTGACAAATACAACTGAATGGGAGAACTAATTCAATGATCACTTACTCTCTCTCCTGGGCCACCAGCTGGTCCATCATTTCCTGCTGTTCCCTAAAAAAAGAAACAGTCAAAGGTGCCTGTTAAAAGCAAGCATTCACAAATACCAGTAACTAATTAAGTTAAGCTGAATCAGGAATGATGAAGCCTGACCTTTGCTCCAGGTTTTCCCGTTGGACCTCTGGCACCTCTTCCACCACGGGGACCCTGAGGACAAGAGTTATTAGTGATACGCCTTGTGCATCACTAGTGTATGTTGAAAAAAATTGTTCTTTTCTACTTAAAAGGTTCAAGCTTGACATACCGTTGGTCCTCTTTGTCCTCGTGGACCTGCTTTACCAGCAATACCCTAAAAAACAAAACAATTACAATAACTTAGCTCTAAGACTAGTCAACTTCTGGTAGAAGTTGTTTGTAATCAGAACCAGAGAGATGTGATAAAAATGGCTCCTTCAGGCTGTAGCTTGTAAAAAAATCTAATCTTAGAGTGAAATCAAAAGGGCCTCATACATACCCTTGCTCCCTTCTCACCATTGGCTCCAGGGAAGCCAACGAAACCAGTTGAGCCCTGTAGATGGAGACAGATTATTAGACACATTGAGGGGAGCTGTTTTCAACGATACTGTGTTAATGACATGCTCACTTCAAAAGTATCCAGTATCCTTTAAAACATGCCAAAAACTTAGGTTTTTGAGCAAAAGTGAAGCTGTGTTGACAGAGAGAGGGTGTCCTTGAAGAATAATTCAACATCGTTACTGCTAATGCTAATGTTATGTGGGTGATACTCAGAGGGCAAGCTTTTGGAGTTGATAAACATGAGCGGTGTGCGCTTGTTAGTAGAAGGACAGGAGATGAAATTGAAGGTCGAATTATTTTGGCAGGCAAAGAAAGGGAAGCAGTCTGTGCACAATGGATACGCATCAGTAATTTACTCCACGGGATGGTTTCCTGCACAGGATAATGGAGCAAATCAAACAGACAACTGCAAACACACACACACACACACACACACACAGAAAAAGGA